TGATGGTTGGGGCGCGTGAGTCATGGGTGGGCCCAGCGATCAAGAAATACAAACATCATCTGCGGAAAGGGTAGCTAAAGTGTCATGGTGCAATCGTCCAGTTTTCTGGTCCGTTTTTACTCGAGGACAACTTCACTACTGTGATAGGATCGTGGTATCGGACGACTGGCGAGGTCACACAGACGCACATTCATCAGTTGCTTTCCAATGGATTCATGGCGCCTTGCTGTGCGTGAATGCAAGAGACCGTGTCAGCTGTGGGATTTGAACCCATGCGTTCGAAAACATTACGACCTGAACGTAACCCCTTAGATCACTCGGGCAAACTGACGAGCTAACGACTTCTCCACCACACGTCACAAAAAATCCATTCCTCAGCTTCTTAAGACTTGAACAGCTTCTTTACTAACGCACCATGCTACATAAACCCCCAAACTCTCTGCGTGTCTCATCATACCATATTTGGCGCCCGTCGTTTCCGACTTGCACCGTTTGACAATCTTAACGTCCCACACATCACGATCAACGCACTGTAGGTTCTATCCGCTGCTGTATTTCAGGCTGTATCAATTCCAACGATGACGTTAAGATGGTCCATGAACCTCGCTGCGGTTCTGTTAGCATCATCAACATGACAGTAGTCATTTGCGCACCTTACGCAATCTCTCCAGATTGGCTCTGCATTTACATCCTTACAGCACACGCTTTTCGACGCCCACTTGCTTGATGGTTGGGGTCGTGAGTCATGGGTGGGCTCAGCGATCAAGAAATACAAATGTCATCTGCGGAAAGGGTAGCTAAAGTGTCATGGTGCAATCGTCCAGTTTTCTGGTCCGTTTTTACTCGAGGACAACTTCACTACTGTGATAGGATCGTGGTATCGAACGAATGGCGAGGTCACACAGACGCACATTCATCAGTTGCTTGCAAATGGATTCATGGCGCCTTGCTGTGCGTGAAAGCAAGAGACAGTGTCAGCTGTGGGATTAGAACCCATGCGTTCGGAAAACATTGCAACCTGAACGTAACCCCTTAGATCACTCCGGGAAAACTGACGAGCTAACGGTGACTTCTCCACCACACGTCACAAAAATCCATTCCTCAGCCTTTAAGACTTGAACAGCTTCTTTACCAACGCACTTCATGCTACATAAACCCCCAAACTCTCTGCGTGGTCAAACCATCATGCAATTTTGGCGCCCGTCGTTTCCGACTTGCACCGTTTGACAATCTTGACGTCCCACACATCAACGATCAACGCACTGTAGGTTCTATCTGTGATGTATTTCCCAGGCTGTATCATCTACGCCAACGATGACGCCAAGATGGTCGATGAACCTCCTTTGGTTCTCTGTTAGCCATCATCAACATGACAGTAGTCATTTGCGCACCCTTACGCAATCTCTCCAGATTGGCTTCTGCATTTACATCCTTACAGCACACGCTTTTCGACGCCCTACTTACTTGTTTACGTTGGGGGAGTTTGAGTCATGGTGGGGCTAAGCGATCAAGAAATACAAATGTCATCTGCGGAAAGGGTAGCTAAAGAGTGTCATGGTGCAATCGTCAGTTTTCTGGTCCGTTTTTCCTCGAGGACAACTCCACTACTGTGATAGGATCTGTGGTACCGGGCGACTGGCGAGGTCAAACAGACGCCATTCATCAGTTGCTTTCGAAATGGATTCATGGCGCCTTGCTGTGCGTGAAAGCAAGAGACAGTTGTCAGGCTGTGGGATTATGAACCCTACCGTTCAAAAATATTACGACCTGAACGTAACCCCTTAGATCACTCGGGGAAACTAACGAGCTAACGACTTCTCCACCACACGTCACAAAAAATCCATTCCTCAGCTTCTTAAGACTTGAACAGCTTCTTTACTAACGCACCATGCTACATAAACCCCCAAACTCTCTGCGTGTCCCATCATGCCATGTTTGGCGCCCGTCGTTTCCGACTTGCACCGTTTGACAATCTTGACGTCCCACACATCACGATCAACGCACTATAGAGTCTATATGCTGCTGTATTTCAAGCTGTATCAATTCCAACGATGATGTTAAGATGGTCCATGAACTCAAGCAGGTTCTGTTAGCATCATCAACATGACAGTAGTCATTTGCGCACCTTACGCAATCTCTCCAGATTGGCTCTGCATTTACATCCTTACAGCACACGCTTTTCGACGCCTACTGTTTGATGGTTGGGGAGTTTGAGTCATGGGTGGGCTCAGCGATCAAGAAATACAAATGTCATCTGCGGAAAGGGTAGCTAAAGTGTCATGGTGCAATCGTCCAGTTTTCTGGTCCGGTGGGGGAAAAGGCATTGCTCGATGAGTTTGAGTGAACCTTAGGGAGTTCCGGTAGCGGGCAGCTTCAAAATTCAACTCTGCGTTCAACACTACGTCCACTGCACCCTCAAATGCCACGTGTTGTGTCTGAAACAGTTATGTTCTGGCAACGCCAGTGCGAAGACCCTCCATGTGAAGATGGTTTCCCAAAGACCTTCCTCAGAGTTAAGGGCCAGCTTCATAGCAGCGATGAGATATCGCAACGCCTGGACATTATCGACGATGTCCTACCTTTATACCCCTGGCCGGTTGACAGGAAGCGTGATCGTGTCGGAAATGCCCGCTGATTAGGGCAAAAGCAAACACCTTGAGATAGCTTCGCTGTTTCAGCGTGGCCCAGTTGTTAAAGAAGCCTCGTCTTAGAGGTGTCAGAGGGTGAACGCCCGCTCTCTCTGGCTCGCCCACCTAGCTTCGATAGGACCAGGACCACATTTTGCTTCTCTAGCTGCAGCAGGCCGAGCTGATGACAACCTCCATCTCTGGAACCCACAAAAGGAGTTTCTTCTTCTTTCCCTCCAAAAAGTCTTGACGCTTAAGACCAGAGAAAGATCCCTTGATTCAGTGTCTGATTTAGGAACATACCGAGTGGGCATGGCAGATGTCAAATGGTCATGGACCTGTCCGATCGACGTAATTCAAGCTCGAGAGGCCTCCAGACGTGCACGAAGGGCTTCCGGGCTTTACAACACTATAAGAGCCACTTACTCGTGCCTGATCAACGCCGTGATCTTCTCAAGCGTTATCTGCTAGGCCTCAAAGAGGTTCATGGCCGTCTCCATCCTCGCAGTCTCCATCCTCACAGAGTATCCGGTCTATGAAGACTCAGGTGTATATTGACTACAAGTGCTACCAATATAGCGGCGCTACTTTAGCGCTCCTTACCGGGGGAGTCTTAGACTCAAAGAGTCTCTCAGGTATAACAAACTAACAACGTCATTCGTTCAAGCGTACAAGCTCAACAATCCCGGTTCCAAAGGGATTACGATTCACAGAATCACACACTAACTAGTCACTACTAGTTGAACAAGAGTAAGTGCCTTTACAAGGCTAATGCTCTAAACAACGCACTACGCCTTGACTAGGAACTTGTGTCCGACGATTTATAAAGGGAAACTAAACTTTATTGATTCTTTTAGCTACGGTAATATAACCCGAAAGCCTTGTCTGACTGACTTCTACATTGCAATCCGATGACAGGAGTCTTATCCCTTATCCCCACCCGATAAGGTGCGGTATTACCATAGTACGTGGTACCAATACTGTACCACCTCAGATCCACTGATGTTTACTTGGTCTGGACACACAACATAACCAGATGAATAACCGCCGTGTAACCCCCGTTACAACGGCTGTGCGTTTCTATTCCGTCATTTTTGAAGCCACAAAGCTCACGCCATTTATATCACGGGGACTCAATACGGCTGCAAAATAGACGTCATGGTCGTGCAGACCGGACATAGATTCGTGGAGGCAAACTTGTCAAGAGATTGCGTATTGTACGGTGCTGGTAGGGTTGCGCATAGCCGGACTTGACTTGACGTCAACTTTCATTGGACGTACTTTAGCCTACCTGAAAGCAACAGTAGTAGCAAGTTTACTCTTACGCTACCAATGGGTCGAATGATGTGCCAAACGCAAAACCGACTCATTAAAGTGAGCGATGTATCTGTTTAATGCAAGTGCTGGTGCTACTGATCGCACTGTAGTGCAGTAGAAGATGTCGAAAGAAGTATTGATGGGCTCAAGATTTTGACTAGGAATGGCAGTTGTCGATTTCGCCAGGTTTGCCGTAGCAGACAGTAAGACCACAATTTGGTCTCCTGCTGACATTGTAGGAATCAAGAGAAGTGGATAGGAGCAACACAAAACTGACAACAACCACAGAGAGACTGCAGCAACACCATCCTCGCCGGATAAGGTGTCGCACAGCGACGAGACACACAACAAGCGATTTGAACGGAACACACATCGACATTTAGATTAATACTTACTTGGTAGCAAGCAATCGTATCTGGTTGTCTTTTGCAACTCTTGGCGATTGTTCATGAGACGGTAGGCTGTTTAAGATGCACTGGTTTGAGCTGTTTTGCGTCCTGATCGATAGGACGACTTTCAAGTTGCTTATAGGAGAAGTGGTCGAGTGGTGTCAGTATCGTAACAGCTTCGTTTTCAAGCTAAAGGTTACAATTGATACCCTGAGATTTGTTGCCGCGATGCCTTCCGGTCATTGTGGAATAGCAAGTGAATTATGTGTTGCGTCTTGCATTAGTGTCTACATTCTATCGATACAAATGAAAACATCGACATGTGATTGTGTGGTGTTCATTCAATCGGCTACTTCCAAACAAGCACTAATCTACTTGACACCAACGCTGTCTATCGCGAGCAGCAACTTGCTCCGTTGGCAAGGCATCAGAATCGTTGCAAAGAATGAGCTCGCGTGACATCCTGCAGCTCGAATTTTCCGAGACTTGAATTACATTGCGCACTCGGTGACACGTTGGGCCTGCAAATTCAAGCCACGTGTCGAACAGGTCTTACAATCACGTGCACATGCAGCGTAGAGTGAACACCACAGTTCGTTCTTCGGAGCTGATCGCACTCATTACAATAACAAGCAACGGCAAGCGACTCACCATCAACATGTCAGCACTAGAAGATCCACAAGAAGCGTTTGCGCGGAAGCTGCTCTTTCAGAGCAACTTTGCGTTCCTCTAAAGCCGCAATCTCCTCGTCTACTGGCGTCAACGTCGCGTCCTGCATACTTGGACGCTTCCAACGCCGCCTGCCGCGCACGAATCTCTTCGATCTCCTGACGAAGCTCATTCACTGAGTCCTTCGGCTTCCCGTTCTTCTTTTCCAGGGCTGCAGCAGCACTGCCCCACGTCACTCGAGGAGCAGGCGGCCACGCCTCTTGTGCCGTGGGTACCGCCTGCTTGCTCTTTTTCTCCACATCCTCTCCTTCCTCAGCAAAAGTGACAGCAATCACTCGGTCGGACGTCGGATGCATCGACTCCCTTGAGCGCCAGTGCGTCAATTGCCTCCCTGACTCGCCGACCCAGCGACTTGAAAACGCACCGTCTGACCCGGATTGTAGCTGCGCCACCACAGTCACCGCTACACAAAAACACAGATAAGGCCGTAAAGATATCTCACGTCGTACACCCGTACCCTTAAGTAGCACTAGTAGTCGACACAGCCGCGATCCACGTACTCTCGTTAATCAGGTCTTCCGTCGAGCCAATAGGTCCAATGTCTTCACGACTCGCCAGTTCCAGCAGCGTCTCATTAAGCGGCACATGGCCTTCAATAGCTTTGATCAAGTCTGGGTACCGGTCGTTAAAGTGGCTGTAAAACTCGTCGTCCGTCTGGAGGTTGTACACAAACACGGCGCCAATAGCTCCTGGGATGCCCAGCATGATACCGGTCGTGTACCAGAAATACCGAGCAAAAGGAGGGCCCTTTAACCCAGCACTGACAGTAGACGCTTTCCGCATTGCAGACGAAAAGAGACCGGACGAAGCGCGCTGTAGCACGCGCGTAGGGAGCGTCCGGAACGCAGCAGCGATCGGCCTCGCAGCATTGTCGAATGATGGATCGAGTCGATGATGTCAAAAGTAACACGAACTGTGTGGCTACACTCGGTGAAGTGGCTGCTGGCGTAACGGTATGTCAGCCAATCCGTGTGCTCGTCGTCTGTGAAATCGGAGCAGCCTACGATATGTCATGCTTGTGAACCGAACGACCGCAGTTTTACTTTTTTTAGCAGCAGGAGCTGTGAACCAGCTCCTGTTAAATATCACTCTAAAGGTTCCCAGACGCCAATAGGTGCTATCAGCCGAATTTTTTTAGCAGTTTTAGCAGTTATTTGGTTGACAAACAACACGTGAGCAAGTGGATGGCAGTATTGAGCTTGCTACACCACGTCATAAAAAGCAGAAACTGGGCTGCCACGTTTGACTTGTATCGACCGACGTAACGACTTTTACCAATGGATGTGACCGGTAACTACTCCTTGGGATGATAGTTAAGGTGCGAAAAAACTGTCCGACAGCCAGAAGTATATTATCACAGCTATAAAGGTAAAACACTCACACTCTTGTACGTACAAAGTTACTCGACATCATGTCAAACGCTCAGCAAGTACTGCCGACCTCTGCGTTTTCTTCACAGCTATCTTCGTCCTTGCTCAAACCAGTTGCTGAGACAACTGGTGCAATAACCTGCACACTGTCGACTTCTGCCCCTGATTCAGTGTCATCTTCGTTCGTAACGCAATTCTTACCCAACCCAGTTGCTGAGGTGACCGATGCAATAGCCTGCACACTGTCAACTTCTGCCCCTGATTCAGTGTCATCTTCGTTCGTAACGCAATTCTTACCCAGACCAGTTGCTGAGGTAACCGATGCAATAGCCTGCACACTGTCAACTTCTTCGCCTTCTTCAGAGCCATCTTCATCCTTGCTCAAACCAGTTGCTGAGACAACCGGTGCAATAACCTGCACACTGCCGACTCCTGTGCCTTCTTCGAAACCGGCTTCGTCCGCAACGCAATCCTCACCCAAACCTGTTGCTGGGATAGCTGGTGCAATAACCTGCACACTGTCGACTTCTTCGCCTTCTTCAGAGTCATCTCCATCCTTACCCGAACTAGTTCCTGAGATAACGGGTGCAATAACCTGCACACTGCCATGTTGCTCGAACATCCAAGGTGCAGGGGCACGCGAGCGAGACGCCTTGAGATCCGGATCAGACGTGCTTGATTCGCGGTGAACTACTTCGGATGTCTCGTCGGTTTCGTCCGTTTGTGCTGCTTCACCAGAACTCCCTGAAGCAGCTGCGGTCGCGTGACTAGGTAGCGAGAGACCATGCAAAGCGCCCATAGCACTGAGCGCTTTCATTTTCTTGCGCGCGCGTTTCCATTTCGCATGAACAGTAAGAGTTGCGTTGATACGAAAGCCCTCCATAAACTCGTTGATGTTGATTTCGTTGTCGTGGCTAAAGTCCATCATGCGCATGTAATCCATGCCGTTAGTGCTGAACGGCTTGGCTCCGGGAGGCAAGTGTTCGTTTAGCAACTTGATGCCGTTTTCTAGCTCGTCTACAGAAATGGTACCGTTGCCGTCGCGGTCAAGCACACGGAACAGAGCTTCTAGTCGTGAGCGGTGGCGATACAGCGAATTGAAGGCGCTGCGCTGCTCTGTGCCGACTATATCGGTATTTTCGTCATCATCGGTGCATGTTACGGTACCTGTAGCATTATATCGGTCCAGGAAATCATTGTATGGTACCAAACCTTCTTCGTCTAGCGCAGTCAATAGCGGCTGAAGAGCGTGCCAATCCAATGACAAATCCAACACGTCTTCCATAATAGCACCCCACACCTCAACCGTAACCTTTCCGGATTCCTCCTCATCAAATTCCTCAAACTCCTGGACCAAATCAGACCGGTACTGCACGATGAGCGAGAAAAGTGCATCTAAGTTGGACACAGCCATGTCGCGACTCTCGGCATTTGCCATATACTGGAAAAACGCGGGTTTGCCCCTTCCCGAAGGAATGTGCATAAAGCAGCCAAGATTATTTGCCTTACCACAATAGTTGGATGCCGAGAACAGTGTAACTAGCATACCTTTTTCTCTGTACGGCCAGTCGAAACCTTGTGGAACGCACTCATGTGAGCGAACCACAAGAGTGAGTTTATTCTTCATCATGAACTTTTGCACAATGTCCGGACCATACATAGTACCGGCGCCACGCTTATTTTCTTCGTATCCCTTGGTCTCTTTTGGATCACTCCAGAGCAAGTCTCGCATGAGTTGCATCTTTCGATACGATTCACGCTCTTTCCGACACTTAGGCTTGTTACGGTACCCGCGCGAGATCGTAGCCAGCCCTGTCTAGCGTGTTAAAGTCTTTGACCAACATATTGTCACGGGGAACACCGCCGTGCACGACGAGGACGCGTTCGTCAATGAGTGTGGCAAGGGGCAGGTAACGAAAGCTCTCGCAGAAGAGATCGTACACATATCGGTCGTACTTGACATCACATTCTTTCATGAATCCAAACAGTTGAGTGATCGAGTTTTCCTCGTGGTTGCCACGATTCAACAAAACGTGACCCGGGTACAGCAGTTTGAACAGATAAATGATGACAGCAATTTCCACGCCGCGGTCACCACGGTCGACAAAGTCTCCATTGAACACGTACGGGTTGGACTTGGATGGTAAACCGTTTTCACGAAAAATCAGTAGTAAGTCATCTAACTGTCCGTGCAAATCGCCAATGATGGTAACATGTTTCGCAGGTGCAATCGTAAACTCCACCATGGTCGGACTCTGCCGAAGCAGCGCCGTCACTTCGGTGACCACGCGAACCACGACATTCCGTGGGATCTTTCGCCCGTTACGACACGAGTCAATCAAGTTTTCCACATTCTGAAGCGTAATGACCTTGTCCAGCTCGTTTCCCTGTACGTACATGTTGGCAATGTCAATGTTGCCTGTTTCAGGCTGAAAGATGGGACGATCGTCCGATGCCTCATCCGGTTTTACTCCATCAAGACCAGGAATGTAGTTTACGAGCGCATGTAGAAACAGTGACAGCTCTAACTGTAGGTTGAAAAAGAGAGCACCACACTAAATGTCAGAAACCGAACCCTCTACAAAGTACCCATTCCAAAGACCCAAAATGGACTCACGGCTTCCGCCTCTTCTCGGTTCTCAAGATCATTAAAGAGCTTCCAATTCGAAATTATCTGGTCACCCGTAGGCGTCGAAGCTGTTGACGAGCATGGAGACGGGGACTGCGACTTCCTGCGGACGCGGAGGCGGACGTAGAGGTATCGGCAGAGGAGGCTGGCTTTGCACAACCGGTCCTACGAGCAACATAACAGCAACAACAACGACATCCTCGTCAGCCTTCGTGCAACTTAAACAAAGTATTTGGTTCAGACCTTGGTGCGAGGTCCGTTGCGGGCCGCATCTGCCAATGAAAACGCGTCAAACGACAGGGTCAAAGCTGCTAGTCCATTAAGAGCAACATCACAGTATAGATGACCGTACATGGCGCTTTGCCGGTGCGCAGTCGTGGGCACAAGACGCGCGGAGCCCGTCGAGTGCCTCTGAGCTCCTATGCCCGGTTTGTTGCCCATATTACAAGGTCGGACAGATGAAGCAAATCGAGTCGACATATCGGCCAATCAAGTCAGTGTGTGTGCCAAAATTTCAGCGAATCAGAAACCGTGGAGGGAGCTCTTCAGAAACCTTTTTTTTATATTCGCACACAGAACGATGGTGGGATCTGGAGCGGTCAGAGAAAAGCGAAAGTCAGCGCGAGAAACGCATCAAAAGCATTTATTGCCCGTTTTTACCAAGAACAAGTCCCGTTTTTGTATTGTTTACCATGACCCTTCAACGTGCAGTTTTTGTGATCCTGCTCAGCGACTTGTCCCCATTTCGCCTAGTCCGACAGCGTTTGAAAAGCTTGCTCGACCTCCTCGTCCAGACCGCGGAAAAACGCCTTGAGCTCGGCTTCTGGCTGCTTGGGCAGCTGAAACTTGGTCTGGATGATCTTTTGCAGCACGGGGTTCATTGACGTCTTGATCTGGGCCCACGTCACCTTGGCATCAGGTGGCGAGTCGGCAATCGTCTTCTGACTCAAGTTGTAGAACAAAATGATCGATCGCAGCATGCCCACACTCTTCACCAACGGGCATGTATAGTCGTAGTCCGAAAAAGCGTTCTGCTGCAGGTAATCCTCCCGAATGATCTTAGCCACCTCCATAATCACCTTCTGATCTTCCGATAGCGACTCTTTGCCGACCAGCTGCACGATTTCCGTCAAGTTGTCTTCCTTCTGCAAGATCTCCTGGCACTTTGTACGCAACGAAGAGTACTCAGGGTCAATCTTGTTGAAAAACGGCTCAAGCACACGCATGTACTTTGTGTAACTGATGAGCCAGTTCACGGATGGGAAATGCTTGCGCTGAGCCAGCTTCTTGTCCAGGCCCCAGAAAACCTGCACGATACTCAAAGTAGCCGCTGTCACAGGGTCAGAGAAGTCACCACCAGGAGGCGATACGGCACCCACGACAGTGACACTACCCTCACGCGTGGGACTACCCAGACACGCCACTCGACCGGCGCGTTCGTAAAACGCAGCCAGACGGGCACCCAGATAGGCTGGGTATCCGCTGTCAGCAGGCATTTCTCCCAGACGACCCGAGATTTCACGCAGTGCCTCGGCCCAACGACTCGTCGAGTCAGCCATCATCGACACATTCATGCCCTGATCACGAAAGTACTCGGCAAGTGTAATACCAGTGTAGATCGAAGCCTCGCGAGCAGCTACAGGCATGTTGCTGGTGTTTGCCACCAGTGTCGTACGCTTCATGATAGGCACCTCGCGGTCGTTGATAGTCATCGTTAGCTCAGGGAAATCGTTCAGCACTTCCGCCATCTCATTGCCACGCTCGCCGCAACCAACGT